TTTGAAACTAATGTAACAGCCAAATATGGTAATTTAAAAATGGGGTTTCGATAGCCAGTTTTTAAATTATCCACTCATTTACACTAATACATATAAATTGTTTAGAGATGTGATAACAAGAATACAGAAAACTGTATGCTTTCACAGAATTTAAATATCTCAAAACTCTAGTTCTTTAAAACGTATTATAAAAAATACAGCCCTATTTTTATAACATAATGAAACAATAAAAATAACTTGCTATCTATCTTGTACATTTCCTATAATATGTAATTATATTTATATGTACAAGTATGATAAGACTTATGTATTTTGCTAGATATTCAACTGTATATTTAAAATGTATAATCCCACTGAATATAAGACCTAAAACAATAAAATGCATAGAAGAAAACATAGGAACTAAACTCAAGGACCTTGGACTTAAAGAGGATTTTATGAATTTGACCTCAAAGGCAAGGGAAGTAAAACCAAAAATAAATGAATGGGACTACTTCAAATTAAAAAGCTTCTGCTCAGTAAAAGAAACTGTCAACAAAGTAAAGAGACAACTATCTAAATGGGAAAAGATATTTGCAAGTAATGCCACCAATAAGGGCCTAATATTCAAAATATGCAAAGAACTCATACAACTCAGTAATAACAAAAAAACAAAAGACCCAATCAAAAAATAAGCAGAGGACCCGAACAGATGCTTTTCTCTAGAAGGCATACAAATGGCCAACAAATATATGAAAAGATGATCAACATCGCTAGCTATTAGGGAAATGCAAATCAAAACCACAATAGATACCATCTCATACCTGTTAGAATAGCTATAATCAACAGGGCAAGTAATAACAAATGTTGGAGAGGATGTGGAGAAAAAGAAACCCTCATACACTGCTGGTGGGACTGCAAATTGGTACAGCCACTATGGAAAACAGTATGGAGGTTCCTCAAAAATCTAAAAATTGATCTACCATATGATCTAGCAATCCCTCTACTGGGTATTTACACCAAAGACTTGAAAATTCATATCCATAAAGATATTTGCACACCGATATTCATAGCAGCATTATTCACCATGGCCAGAACGTGGAAGCAACCGAATTGTCCTATGATAGATGACTGGATAAAGAAGTGGTAGTACATATATACAATGGAATATTACTCCGCCATAAGAAGAGATGAAATACTGCCATTTGCAACAACATGGATGGACCTTGAAATAATCATGCTAAGCGAAATAAGCCAGACAGAAAAAGTTGAATATCAGATAATATCACTTATATGTGAGATATAAACCTGTGGGAAGGTAAATGGGGTAAAGAAGGTCAAATATAGGGGGGTAGGGGAAGGGCAAAGTGGGTAAAGGGGATCAAATATAGGGTAGCTGAAGCAAACTGAACTTTGGGTGGTAAACACACAATAGAATATAGAGATGTGAAATTATAATGTACACCTGAAAATTATATAATTGTATTAATCAATGTTACCCTAATAAACTTAATTAAAAAAAATAAAAATAAAATGTATAACCCTACATACAAAGATAAGTTACCTAAAGGCCACTTCTTCTGGATTCTTTTTTTTTGTACCAACTCCCACTGCTTTTTGTTAGCCAGTTTAGTAAAAATAGGTAATTATACAGAATAATTCTTCACTTCCTATTTCTCTCTGGCCTACTTCTAAATGCTCAAATCATATCACTAACACTGAACCACTAGATCAACACGTAAAGAATGAATAAATGGTCAATTATTAGTGGTTGCCTTTATGAATAAATGGTCAATTATTAGTGAATAAATGGTCAATTATTAGTGGTTGCCTAGGACAGGCAACTCCCAAATTTTGAAACACTATGTGCAAATTGTTTTAAAATAACTTACTATAGCACAGAATCTATTCTTCTAAAGAAGCTATGTTTCGTGATTTGCTCATTGGCCAGATTTTATATGCCATTTAACGAACTTTAAAACTACTTATCGAGTACCATTTAGGCAAATGAGACTTAGCTTTAATTTTTTAATAAATGCCCTTTAAGAAATAAAAATAAAAACATTTTGATGAAAATCTTTCAAAAGTATTGTATTATGTTCGGTAGTTAAAAACATCTTGATCAATGTCAACATTTTAAAAAAGCTATAAATGTGCAATCAAAAATATGCTGATACATATTCTCTGTGAAATTAGAGATTTTACAGCAATTCGTACCCATCTTCTTATAGTGTGATGTTTTTAAAAATCATTTTTCCAGTTTTTATCACTTTTTGATGTTTTCAATGTGCCTACACTGACCAGACTTGCCTAAAAAATTGCTATTCTACTTTAAGGCAGACTAGTAAATAAGCTAGAAAGCTAGATAGAAGGGGAAAAGTAGAAGAGAGTAAAGGCTTTCAATAGAAAAATGAAAGGTTTTCCTAGTAAACAAAATGTAAAAAGCAATAATGTATAATAAATTATGTGATACTTAAGTTTTCTTTCAGAGTCTCTATGTTCCAAATAACTGGGATTGTTGGATATTAACTGCACTAGTTCAATTATAACTTACTACGATTTTAATATCTTATACATAAGAAAATTCTAATTAAGATGCCAAGAATACCAAAATTTAGAAAAATAAAGGATACCAAGATTTAGGTGCTCGATGTTAAAGCAGAGGAAAGGTGATACCCACTGTCAGCAGTTTTTTGTATTCTCTCTGTGTGCAAGAAGGCAAGTGTCTAGTTAAGAGATATCACTTATATAAAGTTTATAAACCTTTCCAACACATCACTTTTTTAGCATTTTATTTTATTAGTTTCAAATATAGAGTACACTGCTTAGACATTTATATAGTTTATAAAATGATCCCCGATTATTCCCAACACTTCGTTTTTAAAACAAAATTAACTAATGGTAAGTCACCCAAATAAATATGTTTATGAGAGAGAGATGAGGGGAGGGTGAAAGTTCATGCACTGTATGCTTCCTTAAGTTGAACTTGTTGTTTTTATAGATTTTAAGCAAAAAATAAAGAGAACGTGAAGACAGGAAGAAATATCTGCAAAAGACATATCTGATAAAGGATTATGATCCAAAAAAAATCAAGAATTTTTAAAACTCAGTAAGAAAACAACCTGATTAAAAAATGTGCAATAGACCTGAACAGACAACTCATCAGTGGAGATAAACAGATGGCAAGTAAGCATATTAAAAGATGTTCAACACAATATGTCACTGGGAAATTGCAAATTAAAACAATGAGATACCACTACACATCTATTAAAATGACCACAATCTAAAACACTGATGACACCAAACGACACTGGCAAAGGTGTGGAATAACAGAAACTCTCATTCACTGCTGGTGGGAATGCAAAATAGTACAGTAACCCTGAAAGACAGTTTGGCAGTTTCTTACAAAACTAAACACACTCTTACCATATGATCTAGTAATCATGCACCTTGGTATTTACTCAAATGAACTGAAAATTTATGTCCACACAAATAACCTGAACAGATTTTTATAGTGGTGGTTTTTTCATAATCGTCACAACTTTCAAACAATCAGGATGTCCTTTAGTAGGTGAATGGATAAACAAACTTTGGTACATCCAGACTATGGAATATTACTTAATGTTAAAAAGACATGCGGTATTAAGCCATGAAAAGACTTAGAGGAAACTTAAATGCATATTACTAACTGAAAGAAGCTAATCTGAAAAGGCTACATACTGTATAATTCCAATTGTATGACATTCTAGAAAAGGCAAAACTATGAGAGCCAGGATCAGTGGCTGCCAGGGATTGGGAAGGAGGGAAGAATGAATAGGGGAGCACAGAGGATTTTAGACTTTAGGGTAGTAAAACTATTCTCTGTGATACAGTAGTTACCTTCTTTCCCACAGTTTCACTTTCTGAGATATCAGTTACCCACATTCAAAAGTGGTCTGAAAATATTAAATGGAAAACTCGAGAAATAAACAATTAAGTTTTAAAACTGCACACCATTCTGAGTAGCATGATGAAATCTCGAGCCTACCTGCTCCATTCTACACAGCACGAGAATCATCCCTTTGTCCAGCGTATACACATGTATATGTTATCCAATGTAGTAGCTATTTTGGTTATCAGATCCACTGTTGCAGTTATCTCAGGGCTTATGTTCAAGTAACTTATTTTACTTAATATTGGACCCAACGTGCAAGAGTAGTAATGCTGGCAATTTAGATATGCCAAAGAAAAGCCATAAAGTACTTTCTTTAAGTGAGAGAGAGAGAGAGAGAGAGAGAGAGAGAGAGAGAGAGAGAGAGAGAGAGAGAGAGAGAGTGTGTGTGTGTGTGTGTGTAAAAGCATATTGTATACACAGGGCTCAGTACTATCCAGGTTTGAGGCATCCACTGGGGGTCTCAGAATGGGGGTACTACTATACCACAATGGTGACTACATGTCAAAGCTCACAGAATGTACACCACCAGTAGTGAACCCTAATGTAAACTATGGGCTTTGTGTAACAATAATGTGTCACTGTGGCTTCATCTAGTGTAACAAATCTACCACTGTGGTGTGGAATGCTGATAGGAGGGGAGACTGTGTACATGTGGGGATGGGGATATGATAACTGTACTTTGTGCTACTTTCACTGGAAAAATAGTCTATTAATTTAAAATGTTAAAGAGAAATTACTGTCAAATACCCAGACATTTAAACCTTCTTGTTATTACAAAAATATTTCAAAATTTTGAAACCCACCAAAAATAAGATTACATTTGAAATACTGTGTATCTGTACTCTTTATGATATATTAAAAAACAAAAGATATGTATTACATATTTTTCTGATATGCCAACCTATATAAAAGATAGACATTTAAATGTTGCAAACATAAAGTAAAAATCAACATTAGCAGGTAAAACCTTAACTCAGTTTAATAAATAGGCTGAGATATAGACTACTCCCATCTACTTTAGAATTACAATAATTTTACTAATTTGGAGGTAGTAGCTAAAATGGAATAGTAATACATAAATATTTACCTTTGAGTCATAATTTTGAAGGCATCTGGGAGGTAGCAGTCTGTATTCTCCATCTGAAATGGGTCAGCATCACAAATCTTGTCATCTGTCCGACCGTAGTTAGCGCTCTCAATCATGATGACATCACTGCCTGGACATCGCAGATCTATAGAATAACCTTCACAGGATAATTCTCGCCTAACTAACCCAAATGGTAAAGCTGCTCTGCTGAAACCTTAAAAAAAAAATTTAAATTAAATTAATTCATTTTTAAGTATATTATTTAAATAAGGCATTTTCAAGTAATAAAATCCAGTTCTATATTCAAGAGATGTCACAAAAACTCTACTTTTTAAGTTATCCATTCATACACTTACTAAATAATTCTTTGGATCTTTACTATATGTCAAGAAGTCATTGTTGGATATTTTAATATGTATCTTTAGCTGGACTAATTCACAGATAGAGACAATTAAAATTACTCTAAATGAAATATTTTCTGTATAATCTAACCACAAATAGAAACTAAGTGGCTCTTTTTGAATAAATTCAAAGAAAAATGACAAATATATTCAATGGATTAATAAATATTGACAAGTTTTACAAATACAGAATATAACAACTAATCAAGAAAGTTTTCATTAATGCAGTTGAATAAAAGCTCTGATTATACACTGGTTTTATATTCTCATTTAATGTAGACATATTAATTCCTGTTAATATGTGTCTTAAAAATACTTTCATCTTAGCAGTTTCCCCCCAAAACAATTAAGATACTATAACAGTAACACACTTATGGCACAATAACATTTCAATTTATACACACTTCATTTAAAGTGGACAAAAATCAGCAGATGGGCATTTAAAGGAGAGGGCACTGCTCCAAACCAGTCCGGCAAGTTGAAACACCCAGAAAGAGGAAAATTTCTCTAAGATTCAGTTTTGTCATCTACAGTATGGAGATAACATCTGCGATGTTACTTATCTTAACTGTGGAACTCCAAAATGAAATAATGTATATATAAATGCTTGAAATGCTATATGAATGTATAAGTATGGTGCATTAGGCAGAGTATAGATACTGCTGTTCATGACTGTTCATGAGTGCAGTAAGATTCTTAAGTGGAATAAAAGATTAGAATTTTAAGTTTATCCAGTTTTCAATCGCCCAAAGTAGTAACACGGCATGGCAGAAAGGGTAAAAGCAGAGAAAGCCAAGAATAGCCAAGAACTATGTGTGGGAGAAGCACATCTTTGCTATGCCGGTGTGCTACCTGAGTTAGCTACCATGTCAAAAACTTTTACCGTTGCCTCAATTTTTTCATTTCAGTTCTTTAACCTGTTTTCAACTACAGCATTCCAATAATTTCAGCATTTTTTCTTATCTCTATCCTTTTAATCACTCTATCATATGAATTATTCCTTTTATCTCCCCCCCCTTTTTTTTAATTGAAAAACACTGACATTCAAACATAAACTGTTCCAAGATATAAACTTCCGAAATGAAGGGCAGGGTTGTGCCCAGGTCAATGCAATGCCATAACCTATCCTCTTTAATTTTACTGCACGATGTTGCCTCCCTAATTTAGTGAAATTGAAAGTCACCTGGATAAACATGCAGCCTTTCTAAGATGTAAATAATCCTCTGAAAGGGTTATTGGGTTACACATTGGTATGATTTAGAAAATCAGCAATTCTCAAACTTGGCTGACCTCTCAGTTCTACTGAGAAAACTAAAGGTGTAATTGCAATGGAGAAGAAAAGTTCATAATTTGGAGCAAAGAAATCTTCAGGGGACTGTAGCAAACCCCAACTTTGGAAGGTTTTCACTAAAAAGGCTTATGATTTTGTGAGATTAGTAAAAGTATGTGGAGAGGTGCACTACCATTGAAGAAGAAATAAGAAATGGAGCTGGGTAAATGTCAAGGCAAACACTAACTAAATAGGCCAATCTTCTAAAAGTTCATAAATAAACTTTTACATGTATTACTGCTTTCTTCCACTTCCAGTTACTGTACCATACTGCTTATACAAATAAATCAGCTTAAACTAGTATTACTATATTCATATTAACTGAAAATATTCTTAAGGCTTTAGAAGCTAACATTTGTGTGGCAAAAGCTCTGTGGAAATTCAAACAAGTAAAATCATATGAAATTTTAAGAGCACAGCCTATTTTTAAAGGCAGAGATGATTTGCAATTATAATTCCTCAATAAATGAGAATAAATCATTTATTAGGAAATATTACAATATTAGAACTTATTAGAAGACCGTTTTAGAGCCATATTCACAACTTTTACTGTTTGTCAAAAACATAGGATTATGAAGCACTGCAGTTTTTAAATCGAACCCTTTCATTTTTATTGTTGCTGATAGTCTGCAGAACTGCAGTTATGGTTCTAAGTGAATTTTCCTCTGCTTTTGAAAGATATTTGAAAAGTTGCATAGTTGAGTGTTTTGCTACTTGGTAATTAATTGAGAGAGAGGATTTTTTAGCCTTATTCATAATATCCAAAAAGGTAAAGGAAAAAGAAAAGGAAACGGAAAAATCAGTACACTAATACTTCAGTAAATTTCCAAAGCAGAAATGAGATCATGGTACTCATGTTATCATTGCACATAACTGAATGGGTTCCTAATAGCGAATACTGCTTTATTTAATGCTACAGTGTCTACTGTTTTAAGTCATGTGTTCTCTTTTCTAAATTCTTGCTCTGTCACCTGTGTTTCTGTTGAACTTTATACACATCTTTACTGAAGTGCCTATTATTACTACATGGTACTGTGCATATTCATTTTTAACATGCATCTTCCCTGCTAGCTTGCCATGATAGAGTTCTTAGTTCTTACTTAATTCTAGTGCCTCAATTGGTGCATGATATATAACTCCAGTGTTGTCGAACCAATTCACTAAACTGAAGAACTAGTATTTGTTTAAAACAGTATAAATTACAATGTGTTTTCCACTATAATATTTATTTCCTTGGGTACTGAAAATAAAAATAGTAAGCATTAAGAAACAGATAAAGAGAAATAAACTACTTGTAATCAGTGAAAATTGTGCTATCCTCAATAATATTTAAATTCTGTCAATTTATTATTTTCTAGGTACTGCTGAGGTTCATTTGTGTTTCTGACAAAGACAGATGGGTTACATGTTTAAGAACTTTCCTTTATTTAAACCCTTTGTTTCCAATCAGAAATAAATGTCCATAAAAAATATGAAGAGAGAAATAAAAACAAGTATTACAATAGCTAACATTTACACAGCAATTACTATGTTCTGACACTGTGCTAAATGCTTCATATGGACCACTTTTTTTAATGCTCACCACCACCGACAACAAAAAAGAAACTGGAATAGTTACTGTTATAATTACAATTTTACAGAGTACAAAACTAAGGCATCAAATAGGAGGTAATTCAGAGTCTTATGGATTTTTCTGAGTTAGATTTTAACCCATGCAGGGTTCTCAGATTCCAGAGCCCATGATCTTATTAATGGCCATGAAGAGGAAAGTAATCGGTGACGTCCCAAGCCACCTTGTGGATAATATAGTAAGATTTATAAATTTTAATACAATCTGAAATTCACCAAAGAATGTTAATAAATTTGAGAGGAAATTATTACTGGAAAGGTTCACAAAACATACAGATAATAAAAATTGTATTTATGAAAATGTAGTGATGTGTACTATAAGCACAAAGAGAAGAGAACCTAGACTATTCAAATATGTACATATAAAAAGTATACTGAACACTAAAGTATGATTGTGTGGGTCAGCCTTGTGACCTGGACTAAGTCATTTTACTTTTCTGGGTTCTAATTTATTTTTCTGAAGAATTAAACTCATTTCAGTCACATTAAATTTCACCAATCTATGATTCTAAATAGACAAGCTCCTTTTAATCAGGTACACATGCTATTCTAATATTTCCCAGTGATCAATAATTAATAAATTGCTTGCTCTATTTCTTTGAAATATAAACATATAAGAGAATGTCAACATGGATGTGTTGTGCCACAACAATGTAGACTGTATGGTACTGTCAAGGTAATTCTCAAAATTATGTGTGATGATGACCTAGGCAGGGTTCACACACATCACAAGCAGACATCTTCCTGGATTAATTTTTAATCAAAGACTTAGTGGAAAAGAGAAAATCAACACGGGTCAATTATGTAATCAAAAGAAAGATTTACATAATTTTAAAGACAAACGTGCCTTCTTTGGCCACTTCACACTATTTTCCTGAAAACTTCAAGGTGTATGGGTTTAGCGTCTTCCACTAGCGATGGTACTTCAAAGGAAGTTTGGAAAGTCTTAAATAAAACTATTGCAATTAATATTAATTTTATAAATTCAATATTCTCACTAAGTAAATCATAAAAAGGCAGAACAAAACTTATACCTAAACACATTTATTACCCCTTTATTATATACACTAATGACTTAACTATAATGAGTTAAACAGAAGAAATCATCACAGGTATGGCCGTTATTTCTTAGTCACACTTTTTTCCTTTGTACATGAAGTAATTTTTCAAATTGGGTATTTTCAAGAACAATTTTTTAAAGAAATCATTTGCCAAGACTATAATAATTGATTCCCAAACATGACTTTGATCAAAGTCATCTTGTAAATGTTTTTAAAAAGAGAGGTCTTCAAACCTCAATCCAGACCTACTTAATCAGAATCTCTGTGTTCAAATGAAGCTGGGATATCTGTATCTGTGGAGGAAAATGTATATTTATTTGCAACACAATGATATACTAATAACTAAGATGTGCCAAGAATTTCTCCAAGGCCTTTATAAAACAATTTTTATTTCTCTATTGAGATTTCATATTTTTAAATCATTGTCATCACATTTCCTCTTAATTCTCTAATATACTTTTATTTTAATCTTTGAACATATTCATTATAGCCACTTTGAAATGTTTATCTGCCAAATCTAGCATTTGGGCCCACATCAGAGGAAATTTCTATTGAATGCTTTTTCTCCTGAGTATGGGTCAACTTCCCTGTTTTTCGGCTTATCTTATAAATGTTTTGTTGTTGTTGAAAACTAGATATTTTAAATAATATGCTGTTAGCAACTCTTGATTTAGATTTCTTTCCCCTGAGAACTTGTTGTGATATTTTCTTTTTAGTTTCATGATTGGATTTAAATCTGCAGAATCTGTCTGCGCCACAGCGTGTGTGTGGCTGCTAATCTCTGCTCATTGCT